CCATTGACATTGCTCTTCAGGACGAGCAATCTCTCTCATGGTAACGTAAACCAATAACAGAAACTCGGCTGCTTTTCACGCAGAGAAGCAATCAACCTATCAAATATCTACGAGGTCATTTTTTTTGCAAAGATCTAGCAACGCCTATAAAACTGATGAATATGGCACCAGTCTGAGGCTCATATCTGGTACATCTCTTCTCGGAGGGACTTCGTCTGATATGAGCGTTGCGCAGGGAAGCGCCCCCATTGAAATTTTCCGCTGATGCCAGATCAGGGTGTCTACTATTACACAATTTTCTAAAATTTTTGCTCTCTTTACTTGTTTTACTTTGTACATGCCCCCCCCCTCCAAAAAAAAAATAAATAAATAAATAAATAAAATAAAATTGTTTGATGGGTATCCAGAAATCCTAGCTTTTTCATTACCTTTTCCTTAGTTTTATCTTGCTTAACCACACTTTAAACTCTGACTCTCTGTCTGCTGAAAAATCATTTGCCAACTAAAAAAGTTCATTTGATTGAAAATTAGATACTCCGTCAATTTTGTTAAAATGCTGCGCTTGACTTCTAAACTTTCACCGTCCATAACAGTTTTCATCATGTCCGAGAGGCGTACCGTGTTGGATTGCAAATCGAACGCAACAAAACATGCACTGCGGATGCCGGGCAGTATCACGCGACATTGGAGGAGAATCAAACCGTGCTGTTTAATAGTGCGCAGGGAAATGCGTGAATTAATGGTGAAAGCAAGCGCTGAAGAATTTTCTGCTCTCCAGCTCACAAGTGACAGAAATATCATTTGAAAAAAAGGAGATTTCCTAATGATTCAACGAACTTCCTCGCTTGGGAATTCTAGTATAGATCGTATTCAGTAGTGGTTCGATGTATCGTTTGGTTCAAGACAATAGAACATTACCTCGAAGGAAAACCTGAAAATGAGAAAATTCTTGACAATTTCACTTTTCATTGCCATTTTTACCTACTCATGAGAATCAGAAATCTATCACAAGAAACCCGTTCCCTCAGATTACTCAATTGACTTTCGAGGCTATGTTCACATGTTGAACCAGTCGATATCGATACAATCCCACCTGCGGGCTAGCTATTGAAATTGATGATAGACAAGGCAATAGACAAAGAAAGCGAAAAGGATATGGAGGGATCCTATTGGTGCAAGCGGGTGGTTGGGATGGACAAAGGACGTAGGTAATAGACTAACTAACGGCAACCCACGAGAGACCCGATAGTTCGTCCATAATTTACCCTTTTAGTCTATGAGAACCACCTATTTCAACTAATAGGATCGCTCTATACTCCTTATGTTTCCTTTGTCTCACTGAAAAAAAATTCTCGGTGTTTTTACCAAGGTCCGTTGGTACCTTTACCATCTCACTTTTTTTTACCAATTATTGGTAATTTTATTAAGACAAACTGGTAAGCTTACCTAAAAACCGGTATTTTTACTATGTTTTTTTCTGGTAAGAATACCACTTTTATTGGTAATCAATTCCCGGTAACTTTGCCATTTTATCTCGGTAATTCTACCACAGTCGATAAAAAATATTGGCGTTTTTACCAAGGTTCAGTAAAATTACCGAGAAAGTTCAATAATTTTACCGAGATTTCTCGGTAAAATTACCAATTTCATAGATGGTAATTTTACCAAGAAAAAACTGGGATCAAATAGAACCCTGCATTCTTGGTAATTTTACCCTTTTCTTAGTAAATACACCGACATTTTTTTTCAGAGCGATAGTTGGTCCATCATTTACCCTCTTAGTCCATAGGAACCACCCATTTCAACTAATAGGATCGCTCTATACTCCTATGTTTCTTCTGTCTGTAAATTTCAATAATCGGCCCACTGTTTGATGTATCGAATACGATCCATTATACTTCCGACGGAGTATAGTACTAGTGGTGGATATGGCAACAGACAGCCCGGGGACTCGTCGTTAGGGCCAGGAGTTTGCAAACTGCGGAGCGCGGAGCTCCCCGGGGAGATAATTAATACGACGATTTGCAAGGGAACCGCTTCCAGCCTTGTGCCCGCCCCCACCCCCAACCGCCCCAGGTCCGAGATTTAATCGCGAATGGTTCGCCGATTAGCCGACCGACGCGGGACGCCTGAAATGTAACTAATCGCAACATCGCGCCGCGGCGGTGGAATGGTGGATGGTCACCAACCCTTCCCCACCGAGGTTGATGCGATTGGGAAGAGGTGGGGGTGCGAAATAAAATCAGGGAGGAAACCTCTTGGTTAAAAAACCCGGATGTAGAGGAAATAGGGTTTACGAGAGAAGTAAAAAAGCGAGCTTGGGACCAATGGCGTGGTGTGCTTAGCGATGCATCAATCGATCTGACATTTGAACCTATGAAAAGGATCGATAAACAGATAAACGCCTTGGTTATCGATTCTTCACCGTAGCTTCAAATGGGGAAACATCGATAATCGATCATTCATGCTTGGGACTCCGAGCCGCAGTGGCGAGGTTCATTGCCGGAAAACGGGGCGTTCAGTTTATTTTCAGTCCAAGGGAAAAATCATCGGTTTCCTCGCAAAAGAACGTAACTAAATTTTAAGGTTCACTGGAAAAAAAAACTCATTGGATCTGGGGTCCAGACTCTTAAAAAATCGACAAGAAAAAGGACTCTTGATTCAATCAGATTTAAGCTTAAATCAAGAACCAAGCCTCTTAATTTGAGCGGATTTCCTTTTGAGTTAAGCTTAAATCTGATTGAATCAAGAGTCCTTTTTCTTGTCAATGTTTTCAAGAGTCTGGACTCTAGATACAATGTGTTTTTTTTCCAGTGTTGCCGAATTCCCCCTCGTAGATTGCATTTTTACCACGAGAATCTTGGGCATTTTTGACTGGAAATGATGATGGGGTTTCCTCCGGATTTTATGCAAGAATCAGAAAAATATTGGACAAAAATTTCTCAGGAGTTTACTTCTGAAAAACTGAATCGTTTGAATAAATGTTGCAACCCTGTGGGACATTCCTTCGTCAAAGATACGACGAAACGAAGAAATGGGGCGAAAATCGCGATTCTCAGTTAGTGATGAGACGCTTCGCGTACTTTAATGGTTTGTCAAGTAAAGAAGGAAAAATTGAGCATTTCTAATTTGAGAAGCTCGTTAGGACTTCCCTTCGTCCGATTAAAGAGAAGCTCTGAGAATTTCTTGCAAAAACGTTGATTGGCTCTGGTTAAAGAAGAAAGTAGCTCTGGAATTTTTTCCCGTACAAGTCCGTCAAAAGCTTTCAATTTTTTGTGAGCTGCGGCTTGACGAATTATTCACGCGTGATCACTAATGCAGGAACAATCTTCTGCCCATTGGACTGTTTTCATTTCATTAGACATAGGAAACTCTTTCTGTTTCGTCGACACTCAGCAATCGAATCCTACACTTTTACCGTTGATGAGCAGTTTTCATCGTGTCCGAGCGGCGTGCCATGTTGGGTTACAAATCGAACGCAACTAAACGTGCACTCCGGAGGCCGGGCAGTATCACACGACATTGAAGGAGAATCATACCGCGTCGCGTCTATCAGAGTAACTGTTACTGTTTTGCGGCAAACAAAGCAGGGGTTTTGGGGGGGAGGGGGGTACCAACGAATTCTGTCCGTTTACCGGATTTTGACTTTTAAGGGACTAAAAAATACTTTTCATCGCATAATAAGAGATTTTTGTTGGAGAAATGACGTATTTACAAGTAACTACGCTCTTACTGACACCTACGCCATGGCAAGCTCAGTGATTTTTTATTGACCTCAAGCACTTGGACTCCAAACATCCTTACGTATGAATGACGACAAATAAAAAAAATAATCTCGATTTTTGAATAGTACTTTGATGAGAAGTGACAGTAGCAGGAGCTTCTCTTCCGAATATTTTGGGCTGGACTCTGAGTTTACTAATTATTTTTCAAAGGATAAATTTTCCGAACCAGGACCATTTTTGTAATTGATAATAAAAAAAAAAAATTTAGATCGTAGCAAAACCATAGCTCACTAGAGAGCCGTGCACTTTCACCGTTTCGTGAGTAATTTTATCGTGGTTTTTATACAATAACCTCACCCCTCGTGAGACAACTAAACCAGGGACCATGACCATCAATCTAAAGCTGTCGGGTGATATAAATGAACTTTAACCCGGCTCCGAAAGCTCGCCCGCGGGAGGTAGGGAGAAATGGACAATGGAAACAAATTAACTTGCATAAATACCCACAAAGCAACCTGCGGGGGAAAGGTACGACGGGCAGGTCCCCTAGGCTAGGCCATGTGCACTCCACCTTCCGCAGGGCGTTTTCATCGGGGGAAATTTCAATGGGCGGAGCTCTGAGTGGAGATGACGGTGAAAAATTCAGCTGCTGGTGATATTGCAGGATAATACTGTCGGGTTCTGTTCCGACGAAATATCGAATAAAGCTTCTTTCACCGCATAATAAATACTTTGATTTACTTTCCTACTTACCCGCAGCACGCTGGTTGTTGAAATTGATAGACAAAGCAATAGAAAAAGAGGACAAACTATAAAAAAAGCGAGTCTATTGGTGGAAGCGGGTGGTTGCGATGAATAAAGGAGGTAAGCGGTTGCAATGGAAAAAACGAGGTAGGTAATAGATTAACTAACAGCAACCCACGAGAGACCAGATAGTTAATCCATCATTTTCTCCCCTAGTCTATAAGAACCACCCATTTCAACCAATAGGGCCAGTCCATACTACCTATGTCTTCTTTGTCTATAAATTTCAATAATCGGCCCGCTGCCAAATTTCCTTCGATTAAATGTTCATTTCTGAGAAAAGTTATGTGTGATTTTCGGGAAGTCCAGATGAAATTGCAATTCAAAATTATCTGAGGATTGTTGGAAGAAAAGCATTCATTAGTTCGCCAGGAAATTTGTGTTTTATGAACGGAAATTTCGCAAAGAAAATATAAAGAAGAAAAGAAGAGGAAAAGTAGAGGAAGATGAAAGAAGAGGAAGAAAAATTACCTTGTCCTCGGCCTCCTCCGCCCTGGCCTCGGCTTCGATGACCCTCTGCTCCAACTCCGAGAGCTGAAACAAACAAACAAAAATTAATTAAAAGACGAAGTAAGTTTACTGAGATTGCTTAAGGGTAAAAGTTTACTAACACATACAATTTTACAAGAATCCAATGGGACATAGAAAATCAAAAGTCACTGAAAGTGCTCCAAGCGACTAATCGCTGTATCGCTTCAATTTTCGCAAATTTTTCGGTATTGCCGATAATTGGACGAATTTTTCAATGAGGAACCACCATTTCTATCTTATTTTAGAGACAACATATATGCCATTGGTTTCCGTATGCAGAAAGGTTCTTTTACAGAAGAGCCAGAGATAGTGGTTCCTTATTGCAAAATGTAATCCAATTAGAGTCAAAGTATAGGTCTATAATTAATGCGCCACGACGGTAAAACACAAGGACGTGTTAAGACACATTAGCAACACAGTCTTGATTTCATTTCCAGAGAATTCATTAAACTTCGTGAATCACGATGAAGCGAATGAAATTGCTAGAATCTGAAAGGGACTGGAGATGATAAACGAGAGGAAAGATGCTATGAAATCCCTGCTTTGTTTTCCGAATGCCGTAAAATAATTGCAGTTACTTGGAGCGAGGCGATGCAGCATAATTCTCCTTCAATATCACGTGATACCACCCGGCCTCCGGAGTGCACGTTTAGTTGCGTTCAATTTGCAACCCAACATGGTACGTCTCTCAGCCATGATAACACTGTTCGTTGACGGTGAAACTTCAGAATTCGAGTGCAAAAATCAGACAAAACAGAAGAAGTATCCAATTTATTATGAAATAACAATGGGTAAAAGGTTTTTCCTGCATCAGCGACCACGCAAAATTAATTTGTGATACCGCAGCTCACGAAAAGTTGAAAGTTATTGACAGTCTATTGCATGGAAAAAAATAATGTGGTAAAGAACAAGATGCGACTTGTCTTAAAATTCGCGGGGTTAGATTGCGTCCGCAAACGTTTGTTAAAGTGACTTTTCTCGAATTCTGGCGTGGTCGAACTGGCGTGCGATATATCACACCGATAACAAGTCAAACATCTCGGCAAATTTTGAATTTTTAGCCACAGAAGGACGATAGCCGATGCGCATGAGCCTCAACCACCACCTCAACCAAAAAAATGGGCAAAATTCAGAAGAATGAAAGGAAACAACCACACATTCGATACAGCAATCGACTTTCGTATCGAATGCGGGGTTTTTCCAAACAGAATCCTGCCTTCATATTTTTGAATTTTGAAATTTTTTGGTTGAGAATGATTCTTTAAGCCCATGCGCATTACGCAAATGCTAGCGTCCTATTTTCGGCTAATAATTCAAAATTTTTCGCGAATTTCGAGTAAATGCCAAGTTCCAATGCCAAAATCCGGGACGAATCACTTCACTTTCAGCCGGTGGCGAAGCGTGAATGATCGATTATCGATATTTCCCTATTCAAAGCTATAGTACAAAATCGATTATTAAGGTGTTCGCTGCGAACACCTTGTTTATCGATCCTTTTCCATAGGTTTAAATGGAAAATCTATCGATATATCGCAAAGCACGCCACGCCACTACTTTCAGCTACTTATGCCGACGCCAGAACGAATAAAATTGAAAGGAAGAGAACTGAAAGAATGAGGATCGCTGCGGTTAAAAGGGAAGCACTGGCGAGTGAATAAAAATTAATTTTGATTTACAGACCCTTCTGCGAGAGCACTTTATCAACGGCGGGCTATTAATTCACGAACCGCGAATCTGCGCGTGCCGAAGGATAAGATTTACTTCCGCAATACGCGAGACCGCGTTCATTCAACAAAAACAAGGGTTCCCAAGTTCCAACGTAACACGGCGGGTGGCAGCACCGTACAACCCCTCAGAGGAAAGCTTCGTTGCTTCGCCGACAGACAGCGCGACCCGCAACGAAACGAAAGCTCGGAAGAAGCTTCAAAGTTGAAGCGCGTTCGGGAAATTCGAGTCGAATATTGCTTAAAGTTATTCGAGGGGGACCTAGAAATTTCTTTGGATGCAAACATGTTCGGAGATACGGTACCATGAGGGGTGTAAGTTTTCGTGAAAATGAGAGGGGAAAAGTACTAATATCATTACTGACAGTAACTGAAAGATTTTGACAGTAACTGAAATAAGACGAAAAAGTTTACGCTTTCACGACACACTCTTTTAACAGGGTTGCCACTGAATTTGGAAAATGAAATTCCCTGACATTTCCCTGATTTTCCTAACACAGTTTGGTGAAATTCCCTGACAACTGAGGGTATGTGAGATGGTTAATGAGACAAATTGAAAATAGTTTTCGGACAAAATTTGTTGTTCGAAACCTTAAACAAATTCTAAAAAGCAAATAAAAGCAAATAAAAGCAATTGAACGAGCTTCCCCTGACATTTTCGTCATTTTCCCGGACATTTCCCGGTTTTCCCTGACTTTCTAGAATTCCCTGACCTTTCCCGGTTTTCCCGATATTCCCTGACTGTGGCAACCCTGTAAAAATTTCAAGGATCTTGAAACCATAAAAAAAATCACGAAAACATTCACCCGGTAGTAGGAGACAAGACTCGAAAAGACAAATGAAAATCGAGGCGTTTTGGCAGACTTACTTAGTAAATTTCAATAAAAAATAGACAGAATAACAGAATCATACTCTTTAATATATAAAGGTATAGAAGTAACGCGTAACGCATAGCGCATAACGCTAGAGGCCTAAAGCGCTTAGGGGGGTTGGACCGCGAAGCGGTCAGGGGGCGTTGCTCCCAACTATAAAATGATTGTTTGATAACTGTGTGACCAGAGAGAGAATTCAGATCAAAGGCTAACAGGTGAGGAGTCAAGAAAACCTGATTAAAAATGACTTCTAGTTCTGGAAATCCTAATTTTGATCCGCGGATTAAGCTTTACAAGATCAAATCCGAGACTATATAATAATAATTTAAGATGGATAGTTGGATCGCATTTAGTAAGAAGGAACAGGCGCGATTATAGCGTAGTAAAAATGTTACTTCTCCATAATTACCTAAAAAAATTCCCAGCCCGGCAAATTTGTTTCGCTTCCCATTAAAAAATTGTCAATTTCAAAGGAAAATAATTGTGAAAATTTCAATAATGTACACATCGTCACCTTCCGACAAAGTATCACAAGCGATATGTGTTCAAAAATTTTCGCCGCCAATTATTTCTTTTACAGAGAAATCGTTGGTCGAATCTGTTTGAAAATTTCACTGTTTTTTATCGGTAGCACAGAGAGAATTCCGTAAAATTTTTGGACAGCTTCTTTGAACAAGTTCTCTGTGAAAAATAAAATGGCGGAGGAAATTTTTAAACGTCGCATAGCGCTTGTGATACTTGGCCGGAAGGTGACGATGTATTGAGTATTGTTAAAAGAAAAGAAGAAGTCAAACAATTTTGAAAACACTGTAATCGCGCTGGTCCCTTTTGCTAAATGCGATCCAGTTATGGATCTGAAAGTGGAATTACATTCATTTTTTTCATTTTTTCCTCCGGGAGAAAAGACAAATACTCGGGTATAAACCCCTGCGATACCGATGGCAACAACGTAGAACAGGTGTTTGCGCGACCATTGGCATTTCTTGAAGTTTCGTCCGTTTTCCTCAGTCGCTCGGTTCAGCGAACTCCGGTTGGCATTCATAATCAAGGCACAAAAGCTGGCTTCCAACTTGCTCATTTCAGCGCACAGCTGCGCTCACTTCGCCTCGATGTATAACTCTTGGCTCACACTTACAGCGCACCAAAACTCGGCGAAAATCCCCAAGTCCCGCTGGGAGAACTCTACATCATAGGTTATGAAACCGATGCGGTTTGAAAGATAGAAATTTTCCGAGACACTGAATCACTTGTCGGAAAACTTGTGTTAATATTAATGGGCCTTTAGACAAGGTATAAATTCAAGCACCGAGCGAAAATCTAGAAATCAACTGGATCGCGTTTAGCAAAAAGGAGCCAGCGCGATTACAGTGTTTGCAAAATCGAGCAACTTCTTCTTTGCTTCTAAAAATACTTTATATATGTATTGTACGGTTTTAAAAATTACACAATTATTCTATTTTAAAATTCAATCCAAACTTGCCGTCGTGTGAATCGTTTTCTACGTACCTATGATTTTGAAAACATGCCGTGGAACCGCAAATGCAATCGGGAGCATCTATACCATCGTGGTTTATCCCGTATCATTTTTTCTGACTAAATACAGAATTTTCCATCCTTCTACGTTCTTCTCGGGCGAGGCAACGCTGAGCGAGACNGGGGGGGGGGGGGGGGGCGGCGGCGGCATGAACGATCCTAATCCAAATCTCCAAGACATAAAAGACCCGGTTTTCGAGGCACACCTGTTCCCACCTATTCCTCCCTTCGGTTGCCGGATTTTTTGGCGTAAACTTAGAGGCTCCACACACTGAGTGGGACTCTCTATCTCTAATATTGGCACACATTTTTAATTTCTCAGCCACTTCACAGAATTCCATGAAAATCTCAAGATTCAATCTATGACGTGTCCCGCCGAACACATCGGTTACCTTTCGAAGATTGTCGAGCCGACGATCTCCGAAAGGTATCAGTCAACGATTCCATCGATGAGTCTCTTTGAAGCATCCAGCACAACTCCGCGGCCTCAATTGGTTCAAAATTAAGATGACCCGCGGATTACTCATTTTTTTGGAGGGGGGAGGGGGGAAGAGCGGGAGAGAGGGAGAGGATGGGAGGGGGGAGGAGAGAGAGTTTCCGTCAAAATTTCAAAATCTAAATTTTCGAACCGGCAAGGGAAAGGATGCGCGTAGACGACGGCGCAAAGATACAACTATTCGTGCTTGATGGATGTCCGTGTTGCATCTGTAAAATTGAAGGCGCGATGGCGCAAAGCGAGAACTCAAAATGCTCCGCTCTATGTTACCGATAATGTTTCGCTCAGATTCGGGAGAAAATTTAAAATATGTGTGAGGCCGAATTACGCTCTCCTATCTTCGGCTACGTGTTATTTTTTCTTCAATTAGAAGTCTGG